ATTTCTGCTCTGATCTTTATGATTTCTCTTCTCCTGCTGGGTTTAGGCTTTATTTGCTGTTCTTTCTCCAGCTCCTTTAGGTGGAGGGTTAGGTTGTGTACTTGAGACCTTTCTTGTTTCTTGAGAAAGGCTTGTATTGCTCTATACTTTCCTCTTAGGACTGCCTTTGCTGCATCCCAAAGATTTTGAACAGTTGTGTTTTCATTTTCATTGGTTTCCATGTATTTTTTTAATTCTTCTTTAATTTCCTGGTTGACCCATTCATTCTTCAGTAGGATGCTCCTTAGCATGGCTCTCTTTCTTCCCTAAAGGCATTTACTGTCTTGACTTTTATGGTATTCCTTTCCTTGTTTTCCCTTATAGTTTACCTCCTAAGGAAATACCCCTAAACAAATTATCATATTTTACTTGCTTTTGATCTTTATGTGTGTAATCATATATTACTCTGTAATCTTTGGCTTCTTTTTTCAGTATTATGTTTTTAAGATGTGTCTATGTTGCTGCATGTTGCTGTAGTTAAGTTTCATTGCTGTATAATATCCCATTGTATAAAAACATGATGTGTTTTTTATCTGTTCTACCATTAATGGACACTGGGTAGTTTTCATTTTGGGGCTATTAGTGATTAATGCTGCATTGAATTCTTGTACATGTACGCTGGTGCATATAAGCATGCATTTCTGTAGCATTTTTCTGGAAGACGAATTGCTAGTTCACACTGACATGACATTTTACCATGCGATTTTCCAAAGTATTGAAATGCTCCCATTAGCAGGAGAGGAGAATTCCCATTGTTCCCTAACGTTGGCAATATTTGTTATTGTCAGAGTTTTTAATTTTTGTCAATCTGATGGATATATAGTGTTATCTTACTGTAGAGTTTTATTTTTGCATTTCCCCATGTTTGCAGGTTAATTTCAGCTAACCTGAAATCTGCTCTTTGAAACTTATGGGCATTTATGTATCTTTTAAAGAGTCTGAGATTAAAACGGCTACTTCAAAAATCAGAGTAACATGTCGTAAATATAGAATTAAAATATTAAGGTGTTCTGTGGCTACCCTTATGAAGCTAACTCTGAAACACAGTTTTGATTTTATTCATGAAGCCTCAAGCTGTTTGGATCCTGTTTCCATCTGTATTTCAAAGCTCATATTAAGCTACTTTTTGAACATTCCTCAGTCAATGATCTTTGTCCAAACCCAGTAAAAATACAACCAAAGCATAGCTAATGACTGCATCAGAGAATCTGCCCATTTTACCTACTTTGGATAAAGCTGCAGAAGAATGAAGAAGACACCCTCAGCCCTCCTGTCCCTGACTCTGACTCTGATGTACCAGGACAGGGTGATGAGGATGAGAAGGTGAACCAGATGTCTGCTACCTCTCTCATCCCCAAGAGCTGACCCGGCTCAGCCCCAGGCCACCTGGTACTCAGACCTCAATCACTTCTCCCCACGTCCTTCAGGGAATCCATCATTATTTTGTGGTTGTTTTTTTATTAGCAGAAAATGTTATGGGGAAAAATGAAGAAGAGGATTTACATCATGCAATGTACCTACTACAGATGTTCACAGCCAACTTTTTGGCTCTCTGAAATTCTTTCTCTCAGGGCTGCTACCATAACCCTTCTCTCCTTTCCTACACACATCCCAGTCTTCCTTGATGTCCTGGGCAATTCATTTCTACCCTCTAACTTGCATTCTCTGCTCAGAAATACAAAAGCCCTTCAATTCACATGACCCTACCCTTCAGAGAAGGCAATGCAGTTCTGTTAGCATCCTAACATGCTCTTGGGATCTTATCCCCTACCACCTTACAGTTTATAAAATACCCCTCATAGCCACAGAGAGTGTGAAGACAAGGTCTGATAAATACATCTTTGCCATCTTTTTATGTCAGCTTCCAAAGTTGATCCAAACCTTTGATCCAAACCCATTAGCCTCACCGCCACCACCCACCCCTTGCCAGAAGAGTTAACATGAACTGACAGGAAGTGAGTGACTTCCAGTTGGCTTTGACCACCAGCAAATTGCCCCAAAGGCAACTAAGAACATGAGGAAGCAGAAGCATGAATGATCCAGATGACGAGGCTCTGAGCTCTTAACACTCTGGGCCTGGGGCAGAACATCCAAGGCCTGACTGCAAGTTCTCTTGTCACTTTGCCTTCCCCTAAGTCTCAGGTTCCCTACCCTGGAGCACTCTCTGCTGCCAGAGGATCAAGAGCAGTGGAGAAAACGGACAGGTCTTCTGCTCTACGAGGTCTACGGACAGTCAGAAACAGTAGGTAGAAACAGTAGGTAGATGGTACTTTCTTGATCAGTCAGGATGTGCTGAGCCACTGAGCCCAGCAGACGAGCTGAACCATGTATATGCAGAGGCCCCACTCTGCTCACACATTGCCTGAAGCCAATGGGAGGCTTCAGAGTTCTAGGCTAATTTGCCCCAAATCAATTTGCACAAAGACAATTCACAGCTCATCAGTTTGTCAAGAGGCCAATGTCCTGAAAACTATTGGACAAAACTTTGAAAAGGGGTGTAAGGACATGGTGCTACCATCCCTGGGATCATTAGCTCTAGGGAGCCCAGGAGGGGTGGCGGGATGGGAGGTTCTCTCCAGTAACATGGAGCCCACCATCAGCAAGTCCTGCCTACTTCATTCCTTCCTAGGGTGGCAACCACAGGCAGCCAGGAGCTGGCCCCAGAAGTTCATTTCTGGATGCTCATGTGGACAGCACACAGGTTTGATTGTGGGACACTAGCTAGAGTGGGGGAGGGAACAGAGACTTTCTGTATATACCAACACACACACACAGACACACACACATACACACACACACAGTGTGACTCCCAAAGGCATCACTGACTAGCCAGGTGACAGGACATTCAGAGTATCAGGCATGTCTTAAACCAGAAAAACGTTATTAATGATAGTAGGGGCAGGGGCAGGTATCTTCCAACACAATTCTCAAGTCATTTCTGTTGCTGGGCCACTTTCCCCAGCCTCCTTGTTATCCCTGTAACTGACAGACAGACGACTACCATCTCAGGAGCTGGAGCAAAATGACTATTTTAGCCTCAATTCACATACTCGTCTTGACTTTTTTGCAAAAAAAAATATGCTTTTAAATCATCAGTTAATTGGTCCGCTTCCAGGCCTAAGAAATATTAAGACTCTAGGTTAGTTCTTGTATGGTTCATAGTTTATATTTGGACAAGGAGGAGGGTGGGATGAGAACTACAATATACCCATGATCCAGGTTCCTTTGTATCAACTCTTTGCAACAACAGAATACTGCCTCATACCCAGGTGGTGCTGTATTTCACAAAGTATTTGCATAGCCACTGACTCATCTCTGGGACATTTTCCACATGCCTGTACTGTGAGCAGCAACATAGCAAAGGAGGAAGAGCTTTCCCTCTCAGGAACTCAGACCCCGGTTCAAATCTCAGCTTGCCAATTACAGGCTTCAAGACCACTGGCATAGCACTGAACCTTCCAGAGTCTCTGCTTCTCTGTCTCCAAAATGGAAATATAACCCAGTCTCGCTGGGTTGTGATAAGGGAAACGAAAGGAAGTATATAAAGCTCTGGCTACAATGTCCAACCTCTTGTACATGCTCACCTTGCTGTTACTCTTGTTTTTAAGTAAGTGTTGCCCTAGATACTAGGGTAGTAGAGATGAATGGGGCAGTCTCTATTCTCAGGATGCTTGTTATTCACTGAGGGAAACAGACAAGCAAAAATAAGGATAATTGGGAGCTCTCGGTTGGCTCAGTGGGTTGAGTTTCCGACTCCTGGTTTCAGCTTAGGTGGTGATCTCATGGGTCGTGGGATTGAGCCCCTGCATAGGGCTCCATGCTCAGCGGGGAGTCTGCTTAAGACTCTCTCTCCCTCTGCTCCCCAAACCCCATTCAAGCACTCTTGCACTCTTTCTATCTCTCTAAAATAAATGGATAAATATTTTTTTAAAAAGAAGTATAATGCTCTCTTGGCTACAATGGAAGTGTGGGAAAAAATACTACAGAAGGAGAATGTCCCAACTGACTTTTCTTGGGGCCAGAATAATAGCTAGTTGTGACTGTTTATGGAGCTAACTTGGTGTGCCAGGCACTGTGTGAAGAGTTTTCCACACACTCACAGGTACTATGAGAGCTAAGTGTTATAATTACCCCTTTACAGAGAAGATGAAGGGGGATTAATTGGCACATAGCTGGAGTCAAGATTCAAATCCTTGGGTGGCTCAGTCGGTTAAGCATTTGCCTTTGGCTTGGGTAGTGGTCCCAGGGTCCTGGGATTGAGCCCCACATTGGGCTCCCTGCTCAGCTGGGGAGCCTGCTTCTCCCTCTCCCCCTGCCCGTCCCCCTCCACCCCTACTCTGTCTCTCGTTTTTCTCTCTCTCAAATAAACACACAAAATCTTAAAAAGAAAAAAAAAAAGATTCAAATCCTGGTCTAGCTTAGCTTTAGAAAGATATTTTAGAGTACCATAAAGGAGGAATAAAGTTCATCAGGAGGATAAATGGGGGTGGGGCAGTTGCCTAGCAGAGGGGACAACACAATCTGAATATTCTCAGCACAGCTCTGAGTCGTTGAGACAGGGTTCCTATCACTGTTTAACAGCCTGAGTCAATGTTAAATGATATCATGGCCTTCCTCTAGCAAACGGACACATGTCTGACATACAGTGCGTACTCCACACCTCACGTTACATGCCCACAGCCCCGGGCTCACCCCTTTGCTTCTTTTTTGGCCCCTCGCAGTGGACCCGGTAGCCCCAGGAGCTCGCACAGGCCCAGTCTATGTCAGGTGTGGTGAATATCTGCTGACCAGAATTGGGTCCATGCCTTGCACCTAGAATCTGGGCCTTCTAGCTTCCCCATAAGGGTTCTTTGCATAGCATCGAATGACATGGATGAGTGAGGATGCTGTGTGTGGTTCTTAATGCTTTGTAATCAGCCTGGACTCTTTGGCCAACCCCATTTTCTTTCTTTTATGAATAGGGAGTAAGTTGTGTCACTCTCCGTGGAATGAAGATCAAGCCGGGTTCCATCGGGAAAGGCATCCCCTCCTTCGACGTCCAGGTCTGGTCCTAAAGGCATTTGCTGGGTGCAGTTAGGGCTGAGCTGGGATTGAACAATTGTGGGACACCAGGTGACAGAACCAGCTGTGCCCACTCCACCCCACCCCCACCCCAGTTGTTGTCCTTCTTCTTCTCCTCCTGTTTTCCCGCCGATTTCCTGGGGAGGCTTCAGTTGAGAACTGCAGTATCCTGGGCATGAATGCTGCTCAGCCTGGCAGCTGGAAGCCTCATACACAACAGATGGGACCAGAGCACCTGGAGGGAGCCCTGGCAGCTCTCTCCATCAGCTGGTGCTTCTAGTTTTCCCTGATCTGTGTTTTCTAGCTTGAAGACACGTTTGCCACGTCTGCATATCCGTGAGACCAGGAGACCCATAACTTGGGTTTCACCATTTCCTGACTTCAAAGTCTTCTGACAGCTGTAATCTATTTTTTGACAGGGCTCCTCCCCCCATTTATTCTCACCAGTGTCACACAAATAGTCAGGTACTGTGTGGGTGGGGCCGGCGTGTTGGGGTGGCCCTGCAGGTTGGGATCCACAGGCCTGTTGCTCCAGATCATTGACGACAAGGGCAACAGCCTGCCGTTCAACACTGAAGGCAACATTGGCATCAGGATGAAGCCCACCAAGCCCATTGGCCTCTTCATGGGCTATGAAGTAAGTGGTGATCCTCACCTGCCCACTTCCAGGCCCCCCAAATCCCTTCAGGGAGCAGTGTGGGTACTAAGGGGGTGGATACAACTCTGTACTACGAGCCTTCTTCACACCTCTCTTCAGTCACTCCAACTCAATGAAGCCTCTTCTAATTAATCTCTAAGCTCCTAGTGTGTTCTCACATCCTTTCCTGTCCAAAACCATCTGACACTTAAGTGCTGACAGGGTAGAAAGAAGCACCCCAGACTTGGGTTCCAATGATCTCTCTCTCTTTTTTTTTCAGATTTTATTTATTTATTTGACAGAGAGAGACACAGTGAGAGAGGGAACACAAGCAGGGGGAGTGGGAGAAGGAGAAGCAGGCCTCCTGCAGAGCAGGGGGCCGGATGTGGAACTTGATCCCAGGATCCTGGGATCATGACCTGAGCCAAAGGCAGATGCCTAACGACTGGGCCACCCAGGCGCCTGTCCAATGATCTCTTGAGGTTGAGTATGCAGGAAGCTTTGACTGAGTTCAAATCCTACAGTCCCACTTACCAACAGGCTGTGCACAAATCTGTTAACCTTGCTGAGCCTCCAGAGAGGACAGTGGTGCCCCCACTTCACAGAGGAAGAAACTGCAAATTGGAAGCTTTGTATGTTTTCCCCACGTCAAATAAATGGCAGGTCTAGGATTCAAACCCACATCTTTTTGGTTCCCAAACCCTACGTAAGAAATCCAGGGATTACATAAAACTGTGACAGGTTCTAAAGAAACCTGAAACTCTTGACCAGGCAAATTCTCAGCTTCCAAGATTGGTCAGGGGAGAGTGGACAGACCTTGAAGTTGATCTCAGACCCGTCTCCTTTCTCCACAGGAACAACCATTGGTGTCCCTGTTGGCCTCACTCTATGGCCTTGGGGGTGGGTGGTGCTGCTCCTTTTGTGACGTTATTGACCAAAAGCAAATAATGCAGGCCCTAGCCTTAATTCACAGTAGCACGATTTTAGGCTTGGATAAAAGAGGAAATAAACAGAGTAACAGATATATAGATCAGTGGTTCTCAACCCTGCCTGTATGTTAGAATCAGTTGAGGAGATTTAAAAAAATAATTCTTGGATCCAATCATAGAGATTCTGGCTAAATTAAACTGGGATGGTCCAGAGCAACATCAGTTTTGTTTTAAATTGGAAGTAACATATTTTATTTTACAAAGATGTCCTCCTCTATGCCCACACCTGTGTAGATATATACCCCATTTCACATGCTCTCTTGACTATATGTTGTCACTCCTCCACTGAGATTTGTTTGCTTTTTTCCTTTCTTTTCTTTACTGAGGTAGAATATATAAAATTCACCCTTTTCACCATTTTTAAGCATACAATTCAGCAGCACTGAGTAAATCACAACATTGTACAATTACCACCATGCATGTGCAGAAATTTTTTCCATCCCAAATGGAGACTCTGTTCCCATTAAACAATAACTCCCCCCTCCTCCTCATATCCCCAGCATTTGGTAACCTTTAATATACTTTTTGGCTTTAAGAATTTGCCTATTTTAGGTACCTCTATTAAGTGGAATTGTACAACATTTGGCCTTTTGTGTCTGGCTTATCTCACCTAGCACATGTTTTCAAGGTTCATCCATGTTGTAGCATGTGACCAAATGTCATTTTTTTTTTCAGGCTGAATGGTATTGTATGGGTATACCATATTTTGTATATCCATCAATTTCTTAATAGACATTTAGATTATTTCCATCTTTTGGCTACTGTGAATAATGCTGCAATGAACATTGGTGTGCAAGTATCTGTTTGAGTTCCTGCTTTCACTTCTTTTGGATATATACCTGAAAGTGGAATTGCTGCATCTTATGGTAATTCTATATTTAACGTTTTTTTTAAAGATTTTATTTATTTATTTGACAGAGAGAGAGAGACAGCGAGACAGTGAAAGAGGGAACATAGGCAGGGGGGAGTGGGAGAGGGAGAAGCAGGCTCCATGCTGAGCAGGGAGCCCGATGTGGGGCTTGATGCCAGGACCCTGGGATCATGACCCGAGCCGAAGGCAGACGCCCAATGACTGAGCCACCCTGGCGCCCCTATATTTAACTTTTTGAGGAACTGCCAAAATGTTTTCCACAGTGGCTGCACCATTTTATATTTCTATCAGCAATGTACAAGTGTTCCCGTTTCTCCATATCCTTGCTAATCCTTGTTATTTTCAGGTTTGTTTGTTTGTTTTGTGTGTATAATAGTCATTCTACCGCATGTGATGTGGTGTCTCATTGTGGTTTTGATTTTCATCTCCCTAATGACTAGTGATGTTGAGCATCTTTTCATGTGCTTATTGGCCATTTGTGTACCTTCTCTGGAGAATTGTCTATTTAAGTCCTTTGCCTATTTTTAAAATTGGGTTGTTTGTTTTGTTGTTGATTTGTAAGAGCTCTTTATATACTCTGAATATGAACCCCTCATAAGATATATGCTTTGCAAATATTTTCTCCCATTCAGTGCATTGTCTTTTCACTCTTTTGATAGTGTCCTTTCAAGTAAAATTTTAAAAATTTGATGAGGAACATTTTATCTATTTTTTTCTTTTGTTTCCCGTGCTTTTGGTGTCATAGTCAATAAATAATTGTCAAATCCAAAATCAGGAAGACTTCCCCCTATGTTTTCTTCTAAGAGTTTCAGAATTTTAGCTCTTGTGTTTAGGTTTTTGATCCATTTTGAGTTAATTTGTGTATATGGTGTATAAGGTAACTGCATTCATTTGCATCTGAACATCCTAGTTTCTCAGTGCCATTTGTTGAAAAGATTGACTTTTCCCACTGAATGGTCTTGGCATTTTTGCCTAAAATCCATTGACCATATATGTGAGGATTTCTTTCTGGGTTCTCTATTTTATTACAATCATCTATGTGTCTTTTTTTTTTTAATGCCAGTTTTGTATGGGTGTACCATATTTTGTATATCCATCAATTTCTTAATAGACATTTAGATTATTTCCAGTATAGTTTTGCAGTAAGTTTAAAAATCAGTAGTGTAAGCTCTTCTCCCTGGAAAGAAGAACTTTCTTCTCCCTTTAAAAGATTGTCTTGGCTATCTGGGATCTGTCAAGATTTCATATGAAATCTATAGTTTTGCAGTAAGTTTAAAAATCAGTAGTGTAGTTTTGCAGTAAGTTTAAAAATCAGTAGTGTAAGCTCTTTTCCCTGGAAAGAAGAACTTTCTTCTCCCTTTAAAAGATTGTCTTGGCTATTTGAGATCCGTCAAGATTTCATATGAATTTTAGGATGAATATTTCTATACCACTGAGATTTTGATAGGGAGTGCATTGAACCTGAAGATGGCTTTGGGTAGTACTGTCATCTTAATATTAAGTCTCCAGGGTGCCTGGGTGGCTCAGTCGGTTAAACGACTGCCTTCAGCTCAGGTCATGATCCTGGAGTCCCGGGATCGAGTCCCACATCAGGCTCCCTGCTCAGCAGGGAGTCTGCTTCTCCCTCTGACCTTCCCCCTCTCATGTGCACTCTCTCTCTCTCTCTCTCATTCTCGCTCTCTCAAATAAATAAATAAATAAATAAAATCTTAAAAAAAATATTAAGTCTCCAATTAATACAGTATGTCTTTCCATTTATTGATACCTTCTTTCATTTCTTTCAGCAACAATTTTTATTTTTCAGTGTACGTCTTTCACTTTCTTGACTAAATTTATTCTTAGTATTATATTCATTTTGTTGCTATTCTAAATAGAATCATTCTTTAATATCTTTTGTCCATATATAGTTTTTTCTGTTTTTTAGTTCTTTGTTCATTTTTTCTCTTAGTTTTTGATCACTTAACACGTTTGACTTATTATTTCTTCCAAGTTTTTATTTAAATTCCACTTAGTCAACATACAGTGCAATATTAGTTTCAGGAATAGAATTTAGTGATTCATCACTTACATACATCAGCCAGTGCTTATCGTAAGGAGTGCACTCCTTAATCCCCATCACCTATTTCACCCATCCCCCTGCCCCTCCCCTCTGGTTACCATCACTTTGTTCTCTACAGTTAAGAGTCAGTTTCTTAGCCTTCCCCTCTTTTTTCCCCAATGTTCATTTGTTTTGTTTCTTAAATTCCACATATGAGTGAACTCTAGAAATCAGATTCTCCCACTTCCCTGGGGGTTGAGGTTGCTGGGGTTTCATTGTTTTGTTTTTTGATTTTGGACTGTTGAAGGCTATAGTAGTCCTTTGTTGTGGTACTTTTGCAAATTCTTTAAAGACTATTGTTTGTCATGTGTGATTACTGAGGTTTCTGATCCTTTAGCTCGTGTTCAGTTAATGTTTTGACAGAGATTTCCTTGAGGGGCAGGAGCTCAAATGAACAAAGAAAAACATCACCAACCAAAAAAGAAGAGAGAACAACCACTGTGCAGATTGGCTCTGTGCTGGGATACTCCTTCACCACTTAGCTGGACTTGCTCTGAGCCTAGGGATCAGCCTGAGATGAAAGCTTAAGGTTTTCTCAGGACTTTGCTGAGCATGCATCTTGCCCAGGCATGTTCACGGCTGTCTTAATTCCCCCATGCATATAGCTGTCTTGAACATCCTAATTTCAAAAACAAAAAACAAAAAAAACCCCAAAACTCACTCCAGCATCTCCCCCAGACCTTGATGGTCTATTGTATATCTCCACCCATAATCTCTTACGTCAGGCAACTTCACTTTTGTAGTTTGCCTGGTAGCTTCTATGAGCCGGGCCTGCTGCTTTTTTCTGAGTTACATAAAGTGAGTTCCTTGCACCTGTCCTTCAGGCAGCCCCCCAGATAGGTTAGAACAGATGCACACAATAATCATTATTTTACTTTAAAACATCTGTTTTTGGGGGCACCTGAGTGGCTCAGTGGTTAAGCATCTGCCTTCGGTTCAGGTCATGATCCCAGGGTCCTGGGATCGAGCACCGCATCGGGCTCCCTGCTCCACGGGAAGCCTGCTTCTCCCTCTCCCACTCCCCTTGCTTGTGTTCCCTCTCTCGCTGTGTCTCTCTCTGTCAAATAAATAAATAAAATCTTTTAAAAAAATAAAACATATGTTTTTTAAAAAGTTAATCAGTATCACAAATGGAAAACAGTATGATTTGCCAAAAACAGAAGGCAATTATAACTATAACTATAATGCAAACAAAACAATTTTTCTTGAATTCTAGCTAAACCCTGTTCCCACTAAAAGCTCCAGTCCTGAAACTTACTCTTGGTAGTTCCAGAGCTTTTAAAAACATGTCAGAGGGTCTCCTTAATACAATCAGAACAATTGGAAGGGAACCTAAAATGGGATGTCATTCAATTTTTTTTTTTTTAATTTTTTTTTCCTGGACCTTTTTCAAATCATTTCATGTTTCATGAGAGGAATGATCTCAACACATTGAGTGTTTGAGTGCAAACACTTGGTGGTTGAGTACAAAGGCTGTGGAGCAAGAATTAAATTCAAATACCAACCCTACCACTGACCAGCTGGGTGACTTTGAGTGAGTTATTGTGCTTCTCTGAGCATTCATTTCTTCTGTTATGGCCTATAAAAATCTAGCCTCACATAAAACCTGCACATGAATGTTGAGAGCAGCTTTATTCACAATAGCCCCAAACTGGAAACAACCCAGATGCCCTTCAATGGGTTGACACCCAAACTGGGGTTCATCCATAACATGAAGTACCATTTAGCAGTAAAGAGAACAAAGTATTGATGAACATAAGAAGCTGGACGAATTTCCAGAAAATTATACTGAGTGAAAAAAATAAAAACAGAGCTAGTCCCAAAAGGTTACATACTCTAGGATTCCATTTATGTAACACTCTTAAAGTGACAAAATTATAAAACTAGGGAATAGATCAGTCCCTGCCGAGGGCTTAGGGATTTGGAGGGAGGGAAAAGATGAGGGAGATGGGTGTAGATATAAAAGAGCAACACAGGAGATCCTCAGGATGACGGGAGTCTTCTGTAACTTGACTCTGGTGGTGGATGCACATTTGATAAAATACACGTAGACACACACAAAAAAATAAAAGTAAACTGCTGGGAGATCTAAGTGAGATTGGTGGACTGTAGCAATGTCAGTATCCTGGTTGTGATATTGAACTGTAGTTTTGCAAGATGCTACCATTGGAGAAAACTGAGTAAGTGGCACACAGGATCTCTCTGTGTTATTTCTTATAACTGCATGCAAATATATAATTATCTTTTTAAAAAAGATTTATTTATTTATTTGAGAGAGAGAGAGAGAACATGTATGCATGCATGTGTGCATTAGTTAGGGAAGGGGCGGAGGGAGACAGAGAATCTCAAGCAGGCTCCATGCTGAGTGCAGAGCCCTACACAGGGCTCGATCTCACAACCCTGAGATTATGACCTGAGCAGAAATCAAGAGTTATCCGCCCAACTGAATGAGCCACCCAGGTACCCTGCAAATATACAATGATCTTAAAATAAACAGTTTAATTAGAAAAATAAAAGCCTTGTAGGTTTTCTGGGAGGATCAGATGAGGTAGTATTTTGGGAAGGAAATTCATTTAACAAAAGTGTATTGAACCTCTCATTTATCCAGGCACTATGTGAATGCTAAGCTGAGAACAATAAATAAAATACACAGGGTCCATGTTCTAGTGGAAATTTTATTATACTAGAGCGCCACACAAAAGTGAGTTGTTACTTTAAAAACTTATCCTTAAAATTGGCTCAATATTGTTCACTAATTGACAAGTAGTGTTCATTGAGTACTTGGATATAATGAAAATAGACTCAGAGAGATTACAAAACTTGCCCAGGTGCCAAGTAGAGCCAGGAGCGGGATCCAGACCCAGATCTGAGCACCAGGTTGTGGCTCATCATCTCTAAACTCGTTGCCTTCAACAAAGGGGTATTGTTGTCTTTGCAGGACAACCCAGTAAAGACAGCCAAAGTGGAGTGTGGGGACTTTTACAACTCTGGAGATAGAGCAACTATGGATGAAGAGGGCTACATCTGGTTCCTGGGGAGGAACGATGACATCATCAATGCCTCTGGGTAGGTATGGCTGACCTGAGCCGGGAGGCATCACCCTCACATGCCTCATGGGATCTAGCTTGTTCTGACATTCATCCAAGCTTGGTGATGGTTAGCTCAGGCTGACTCTGAACAGAGCTCTGTCTATGGGCCCCCTTTCTGGGGATACCTGTGCACCTCCCCCAAGCCCTGCATCCAGAAAAGTCTATCAAAATGTAGTTCAAGAAGGTCTGCAAGGCGAACCATAATGAGACATTATGCAATTTAAGGGATTTGGAAGGAAGACGTTACATAGGCCCTTATTGTTGAGGAAGCTTCCTCTATGTTTGGCTCCTCTAATGGGACACAACAATCACTGAAAATTTTAATAATAGATAACAACAACATAAACCTTTATGGGGCACTTACTATGGGGATGCACACTCTGCAGTGCTTTATATAACCCAGCTCTCAGTGCTAGAAGGTAGATGCAGTTATGCCCATTTTACAGATGAAGGAACTGGGTTACTGACTAGTGAATAAAGTTCCCTAAAGTTTCAGAGTGCTGGGTACAACCCAGATTTACCAAAGCTGTCTGGCTCCAAGTCAGTTGTCCCTAAATCTTCACGTGATTTGGAAAGAAAAAAAAAAATGACACATTATACCAGAGTAACAAGTTCTCTTGGCTATTTCAGGGAAGTTGAGTGTGTTTACCTTTTAAATTTCTAAAACATGCTAATATGATGGGGAAGAGTATGCAGAATTTGCATGAATGTTTAAGATAAAGGCTGAGGCTTCTAGTAGGTTTCATGCCAAGGGAAGCTGCTTGAGCCCAGCCCCAGAGCTCGGGGAGAACTAAATATTCACCCTCCTCCCTGAGCAGAGGCAGTGAGGTGAGAAACTCTGGGGAGCATGTGAGTGTTGTATTTCTCAGCACGGAGTGCCCATTCTTCATGTTTGGGGCCCATGAGAGAGCCAGGGCACAGGTATCTGGCTTCCTGTGACAGTTATCCTATGTGACAAGGGACGAGGTGACCCTCCAAAACATGAGACTTGAGGGCTTGGGTCACCCGGCCCTGGCAGCCACTCAGAAGCCAAGAAGGAGCCCGCAGGTACCGCGTCGGGCCCGCAGAGGTGGAGAATGCCCTGGCCGAACACCCGGCTGTGGCTGAATCAGCTCTGGTGAGCAGCCTGGACCCAATTCGAAGGGAGGTGAGGAGGACACAGAGGTCATCGTGTCTGTGTGTGGGCACCAAGGCAGGTGCCGGGAAACCTTCCTCCTGGTCCTGTCTCTCCAACCTTGGACCTCGGGTGGAGGGGGGCCCCGGGGTGTGCATGTGCATTTACACTGTGTGGCCACCAGAGAGCAGTGTGGCCTCAACCATGTGGGACAGAAAATGATGCTTGTGAATGTGGCTTGCAGCTGGGGCTACTGCTGCCCGTCTCCTAATTTCTGAGCCCTTCCTACCTGCCGGCTCATTTCCCCCTCACAGCAACCTCATTAATTAAGGACTCTGAGACCCTTTTTTACAGGGAAAGAAACAAGCATAAGGAGATTAAATAAGTTGCCTGATCACAAAGCTGTCAAGTGGTGGAGCCAGAATGGGAATGTGAGCAGTCTGGCTCCAGAGCAAGCATTCATTGATTCACTGTGTGCTGAGCACCTACTCTGGACAAGGCCCTGTGCCCTGTAGACGCGACATGAATAATAGGAACGTAGTTAATCACCACCATTGATTTAATGCCCACAGAACTCTACCTATAATAATAGGGAAAATGGTGATGATAATGATAGGAATAAAAATCAGTTTAAACGAGCTTCATGGTTTATATGAATGATCTCGATGAATCTTGAGAGCCATGCCCTGAGGAATGAAGCCGTGCTGTCCCCACATCAGAGAAGGACATGGAGGCTGAGAGAGGTGAAGTAATTTTCCAAGGCAGAGAGTAGAAATTGGAAGTATGGACACTGGTCCTGTTCTTTTCCAGAGGCTCAACTGTCAACTTGTTTTTCCATTTACTTAATACACATTTACTTTTTAGACTATACACTTGGTTGCCACTCCCCCTGAGCCTCCACTCTGGTTCTGCGCTGCAGGTGGTGAAGGCATTTATTGTCCTGACTCCGGAATTCCTCTCCCATGACCGGGACCAGCTCACCAAGGAGCTACAGCAGCATGTGAAGTCAGTGCCAGCCCCGTGTAAGTACCCCAGGAAGGTGAGTGAGGGCAGAGGGATGGGGCCTGGTCCCGTCCAGTGGGCCCTGGGCTCTGCTGCCCCAAATCTCCTGGGGTGGCTGGGGTGGAGCTTACGTAGCCCATGGAATGAGCATTTTTCTCTACTGAAGAAGCATTCAACTTAGGGGTTTAGGGGAGATCCATCTTAATCATGGAAACCTCTATCCTGTGTCAGAAAACAAAAAGGCTGACAAAAAACCTACAGAAAAAAATCAGCCAAGAGCCTAGAAATATCCAAGAAGGATATTTGAAATCTTTCACAATTTGAAAAAGACATTCGGGGCACCTGGGTGGCTCAGTCGTTAAGCGTCTGCCTTCGGCTCGGGTCACGATCTCAGGGTCCTGGGATCGAGCCCCTCATCGGGCTCCCTGCTCGGCGGGAAGCCTGCTTCTCCCTCTCCCACTCCCCCTGCTTGTGTTCCCTCTCTCGTTGTGTCTCTCTCTGTCAAATAAATAAAAAGAAAATCTTGAAAAAAAGAAAAAAAGAAAAAGACATTCAAGTCAACAACTGCCACACTTTTAAAAAACATTATTTGTAGTAAGAAATATATTCTAAATTGAAGCCCAATACATATATAGATACATAACAAACAAAAGGTAACAAAATAATATTTATTGTAGCATAAAATACATTCTGAGAGATTTTTTTTCTACCTCGTTTTCAGTGCCATGTGAGAACTATGAAAATGTCCAACAATAGAGAAATGATTAAATTATTCGTGGTAATTAATGCTGTCCTATAATTTAAAAAGATGATGCAGATCTCTTATTTGTAACATAAAAAACATCACAAAAATATATTATTAAGAGACAAAAGCAGGCTGTGAATAAATATACATGTTATCTGACTTGTTGAAAAACCACGTTTGCAAGGATACATGGGTCAAAAATTTAACGTGTCTTTCTTTTGTAATAATACATTGCTGTGCTTTCTGAGTGTTTACCCAAAGCTAGATAGCTAATATTTATTGAACATGTGTGCCGGGCGCTGGACTCAAAGCTCTACATGTGTTATTTCATATAATCCCCCCAAACCTGAGATGGTATAACCATCCATTTGACAGAATGGAAACGGGAGAGGCTCAGAGACTCACAGTAAATTGCCTGAGGTTGGAGTGAAGAAAAGGGCAGAGCTGAACTCAAACCCAGTGTATCTGAAAACGGAGTTCGTCCTTCACATGTAAGGCTCTGCCGCCTCCTAGAGAGTAGACTGGAGGATGCAGGCCAGTTAGGATGGGCTGATGTTCCTGTGAGGAACTAGTAGCCCCTGTCTTAGTGGCTCCTACTAGGGAAGTATCTTTCTTGCTCCGGCCACATGTCCGCATGGTCTTCCTGGGACCAGGATAAAGGAGCACCCACCATAGGTAACTGCCAGGTGCTAGAAGAGATGGACAGAGTGGATGCCAGACCAGTGGTCTCAAGTGTTCTGTTCGAGGTGGCACGCCTCACTCCCACTCACATCTCACTGGTCAGAGCACATCACAGGGCTGCATCCAACTTCCCGGGTCAGGGGACACCCTGACATGCCTTGGTGGAGCCTACTGGGGCCACCACAGGGTGCCAGCCCGTCTGGGGGACTGTGCAGGGGCAGAGGAGGAGCCTGGGGCATTGGTAAGAAATGACAGCAGGACTAAGTTGGGATGGGTTTGCTTTATCCTTGACCAGATGGAATTTGTCTCAGAGCTGCCCGAAACCGTCACTGGCAAGATTAAAAGAAGTGACCTTCGGAAAAAGGAGTTTGGTCAGATGTAATCAGCAAAACCCTCAGAAACCACTGTGTCTTCTTTGCCAAATCCCTGGCTGCCTCAGTTTCCTCACTATGGGGAGGGTGAGGAGGGGAGTGTTGGACATTGATTTTAAGAGCATCAGGAGTGCTCACATTGCAGCATTTTTGTTCTTTTAAATTACTATCCATTACTCTCCTGCTTCCAAGTCCCCGAGTGAGCGCCCAGGATGTAGCTGGGGTAATAAAGGGACATGAGCATCCAAGGGGACTTGTGTTGTGCTTTGATTCTGTGAATGAACCAGAGCTAAATGCGGTCCCTCCATGATTCTCCCCAAGCCCCATTGGAGAGGACTCTGGGGCCAGATTCTCCCCCCTGGTTCCAGGGGCCCTGGGTGACTCCTGTTGTCTGTTCAACAACCACAACACAGAGGTCTGGGGAGGGACCCTTCCTTGGCCCCAGGTGTCCACCTCTGCCTGGCTTGCCCATGCCCTGCTGGAGGGTGAGGTCAGGGCCAAGCTAGTGAGGTGGCTGGGGAAGGGGGAAGGCACCGAGGGCAGCCCAGCCTGGTGGTTCCACCTGCCTGCCAGACCATTCCTCACCGCTCCATCCAGCATGCCATGGACCCGCTGCCTCTGTATGGTGCTGCTTCCAGGTCCCAGCCTGCACCAGCTTAGGTGTGGGAGGGATCTGCCCTGTGGGGACCCAGGAAACCTGCAAGACTCCTCCAGCCCTTTCCGGGGTGCCCAATCCCCCATGCCTTCCATGGAGCCCAGGAGCTCCGTTCCCCAGCCCTCCGTAGGGCCCCCCAATCACTCACCCTTCCCCAGGGCCCAGGAATCCCTCAGCCTCCCCAGGGGCCCGGAGCTCTCCCCACACTTTATGAGGTCCTCCTGCCATCTGTAGCCCGAGAGATGATGTGTGCAAAGGGCAGGGCTTAGCACAGGCCTGAAACAGGAGGGACCTCTGGTTGTCACCAGTGTTGCTTTGAACAGCTGTGAGACGTGAGGCACCGGATCTGGGAAGGCACTTGCCCCATGGAGATGATGATGCTAATGTCCACAGGTGCTCAGCACGGGGCTTCCTCTTGTCCTCAGCACAGTTATGGACACAGGCTTGGACGCCCCAGCTCACTGAAGGAAAGCAGCCCAGGGTCACAGAGCTGGTAAGCAGCACAGCTGGATCTCACACTCTAGGCTCCCGGCCCTGTTTCCAGGGGCCACGAAGGGCTTCGTAGACAGGAGGCTGACACTGGCTTTGGGGACACTTCCTCACCTCCACGAGTGATCTCACCTGTTCGAGGCCCCCAAACTCTGTTCACTGCTTCTTCTTCCCTGCTCCCTGTTCCAGTTATAATCAGGGTGACCCCGGCCATCCTTCCTGGAATTCCCTAGTCCCCCTTATAGGCTGGGCCTATATATATATAGTCTGACTCCACCCCTTCTGTAGCTGGTCTCTCCTTCTATAACCAGGACCACCCGACTCTGGGGCTCTGGAGGCGGCAGCAGCTTCTAAACAGAATTTAATACAAATGTTTTGCTATCCTTGTTTTGTTTTTGTTTGCGTGTCTTTTATGGCTTCTTTATATTTTATGGCTAATTATATAAATATATTTATATTTATGTTAAAGATACTGTGTTCCTATTTTAGCAGTGCTGAAATGGTTCCTGTTTACAAGAAATTTACACAGTAAGTGGTGGTTTGTAGAGCATTGATTTTCAGCTGCCTTGGGCCTGAATGAGTTGGGATTAACTCACAATTAGATAACACTAATTGTGTTAGTCCTAGAGAGAAACAGTTTAGGAGGTTCGGCTCAGGACAGGGCCCAAGAGAGATGATCACAGGGGGTTTGTCCAGTCACCTGGGTCCCTGGCCCTGCCCACCTGCTTGGCTCTCCCCGTCCAGCACACCTGGGGCTGCCAGCTCTCTGGGTGTTGTCTTGGATCCCCCAGGAGAGAAGCTGGTGAATGTTTTCTCTTAAAATGCTCTCATTCCTGGAGGTCCCAAGAGATCCCATGAGAGTCAGCTTGGATTGTTTCCCCTGTGAGGTTCATATCGTAAAGCCCAAGCTAGTGGGTAGCAGGGTCACATAGATAAGCGACAGATCTACCGCTGTTGGAGGTGTTCAAATGTCTCCGTCAATTAGGGATGATTTTGAGGCCATTCGGTCTTCTCATACTAATATCCCAGGATATACCAGCCCAGAAGACATATCTGATTACAATTTTGTCATGCTTATTTCATTCGGTTCCAATGTAGCTTTTTCTTTGGGATTTCTTTACTCCTATTTTATTTGTAGAGGTACTTCTCAATTTCTAAACATATGGGAATTTCTAGTGAGCTTTTTATCCATGATTTCTAGCACATTATATTACCACAACATGCTCTGTGTGATTTCATGCCTCTGAAACATATTGAAATGTCCCTTATGACCAAAATAGATCGGGTGCATTTTTGTAAGTGTATCCTATATGCCTAAAGTTAATGTGTCCTCCACAGTGGTCTATGGATGTGGACAGACATACGGAGATAGCTGTGGGATTCAGATGGTTTGCTCTCAAGGTCTACATGTTATGGATGTTCTGTCTGCTTTGAGTCACTGAGAGAGGGTTGAAACCTCCCACTCTGCTTGTGTATTTGCTTGTTGTTGCAGTTCTGTCCTCCTTTGCTTTATATGTTGTTCAGCCAATGGCTCTAGGATGGGAGTTCTGGAAGGAAGGAGATAGCGCCCAGAAGAGGGCAACAGGGACCTGGGTTGGGAGGCAGCAGAAACAAGAAGGATGGCCAAAGTTCCAGAGAGGACCTGTTATTGGGATGGCACGTGGTGGGGCGCCAGTTGGGAAGGGGCTCTTTAAATATGAGGTCACGCGGGGTGCCCATTATGACCTACCAGGGGCAAAGGCAGATGATTGGCTGAGAGAGAGTATAAAGCCTCTGGGTTGCTAAGGAATGGTTCAACCAGGGGAAGGCTTGGAGAAAAGTGTATCCTCCTCCAATCCCTTCACCTGCTACTGTTTCCTGCTGACCTAGTGATTTACTAACCTGCTGACCTACTACCCTTTCTGAACCTCCCCTCGAGTACTTACTCTGACCCTGACACCGTCGCTGACCCCTTCTTCTCCTGACAAACGCCTTCCCCAATCCCACCCTTTATTTCTACCCTGCTCCCAACCCTCATTAAAACCCTATCCCCTTCCCACCCCTTCCCACCCCTCCCTACCCCACCCACCCCTACCTCCACTCCACCCCCCATCTCCACCTCCTCCCTGACGCCCCAGCACCCCTTGAAAGGACCAAGAATGAAGGTGCAGAGGCTGTTGTTCCTGGTGCTCTTGCTGCGGTGTCCCGGTTCCCCAAACCCAAATGTGAGTAAACATGGCACTTCACTGGCATCTTCACAGGTGTGGGGGGAAGGGCAGAGGGGGAGGGAGAGAGAGAATCCCAAGCCAGCTGTGCAGTGAGTCCAGAGCCTGAAGAGGGGCTCATCCTCAGGACCATGAGACCATGACTTGATCCAAACCAAGACGTCGTCACTGAACGGCCTGAGCCCCCCGGTGACTCAAAGCTGCTAGTGGTGTCTTCATTCCTACTGGGTTCTTTCACATGGTGGTCAAATAATAGTTTTTTCATGGGGTTCTTGGTGAGAACTTCAGAAGAACTGCAGTTCTTCCTGAAGACCGGGGACCACAGGGCAGGTTTCTCGGTCAGCCTGAAGGGGCTGTGGCCACAGCCGTCCACATCAAGTTCTGGGTCCTGTCTGTGCTGCTTGGTCCAAAAAGAGCAGCTCTGGCAGGATGGAAACCTGCAAATACTAGGGTAATGGTGGCAAGAAGGAAGGATTTGAGAAGATATGAAAAGCCATTGAGCTCTTTGTCTTAAATAGGGGGCTTGTATGATATGTACATTATATCTCATTAAAATTGTCTTTTAAAATGTCGGGAATGCTAATTTATAGGAGCTACGGGCATTAGACTGGCTCCTGGAAGCCCAGTGAAGATCCTGCTTCAAGCCTTGTATGTTTAGGGTCCATCTTCTACATTGATTTCATGTCAGCACATTGTTCATATTTGTGAAGTTTGGCAGCCCTGGGAACAGTGGTATCTTAAGCATTGGTGTTGGGTCTTGAGTGTTAAACAGTGAAATGTCCTTTGTGCTCTGTGCTTCCTGGTTGGTTGACTTGTAACAACTTCGGAGTCAGCCCTTTCCTCCTGGCCTTGGAGGCTGTCCCCAGGGACTCTGTGTCCCACCAGGTCCGTGGGAGCCCTGAGAAGCCCAGCAGACACTAAGTGACCGCATCTCGCTGGGACGTTTGTCACAGGAAAATCTGATGGATTGATGTAATCAGGAAGTGAATGAGTTGTTACCCTTTCTTTGGCCCAGTGTGTACAGAGTGTTGATTTCCCCAAAGTCAAAAGCTCCTGAATGTCCTTAGGATTGTCCAAATATAAAGAAATACCTGGTTCCTAGTGTGACTATTTCACTCCTTAAAAAAGAAAACCCTTACCCTCAGGAGAGAGAGACAGACAGGGAACACTCTAGAAATAAGCAGACTTCTTTAGATCGGCCTACACCAGATTCTTAGAGAGGGATTTGCAAAGTGGGAGTAGTCAGGAAGGACCCTAGTGTTGAGGCAGAATCATCCCACATGAATACCTCCAGTCAAAATAGACTCGATTCTGTTTCTTTTGAGTCTTCAATGGAGGGAATTTCTTCGTAGTCTTTATTGGAAATATTCCCCTCTGCCTAGGCTGCATCTCATAGAGCACTTCGCCTTTCTCACCCTCCCTCATCTCTGAGCTCTTGCATAAACTACCTGGTCTCGCATTTCCCTCCTCCACCTGCTCATGGCCATTGTCTGTTAGAACCTAGTGTTATTGGCCCCATTGGATGTCATCTAGTTAAGAGTCAGCTACTGGTCAGCATCCAGACAGCTGCTAGATGTACCACGTGGCCACAACTGGGGGTGTTTTCCATTTGTGACAAGATGGCCTCTGTCTTTTGTGCATTTGATCCCCATGATCAACCATTGAGCAGATAGCTAATGTTCTCTTTCAGACAGCGGCTGTTCCAAGACCGTGTATGTTTCCCACCAGCACACATGTTTGTGACCTCAGCTGTGAGGGTTGAGGATGAAAATGTTATAGATTTCAGGGGTACTTTCTAGAGAGTTGTGTTTGCACAAAATTCAAGCTTGGTGTGAATTAGTAGGAATTGCATTGTGAGCGTCTTGTCTCCTAAAATACTTGGAACTCCAGTTTTTGTAAAATGAGATGTGTTCTTTGTTTTGGTGTCCATATCCAGGAATTTTGTATTCTTTTAGAAATGAAATTTCATGGTCACCTGGGTGGCTCAGTCAGTTGAGCTTCTGCCTTAGCCTTGGGTCATGATCCCAGGGTCCTGGGATTGAGCCCTGCTTGGGCTCCCTGCTCAGCCGGCAGTCTTCTTTTCTGTCTCCCTCTACCCCTTCCCCTGCTCATGCTCTCTCTCTCTTTCACATAAGTAAATAAAATCTTTTTAAAAATCAAATTTTAGAGTTGCTCTTGACTGATTTAGTTACAATACTGAGAAATAGGAACATGAATGCCTTTCATTGGCTTTTGGAGATAGGTGTTCAAGTAATTTAAAATGTCACAGATACCATCAAAATAAACAAGATCACCTGATTATGAAAGTCTTTATGTACCCCTGAAATCTGACATTTTGGGCTGTGATTCTGAAGCAAAGTGGGCATTGAAAGAAAACATCACTGTTTTCAGAAACTAAACAGTAATTCGAATTTATTTTTGTTGAAATAATAATCCCATATTCTTCTAATAGAAGCCTCCTGTCTCTCTCTCACTCATGTCCTGATCTATAAACATCTGTCCATAGAACATTCTCATTTATATCTCTAGTACATTTTTTAGTCTTGCTTTTTCTCATTCTTCCATAAATTTTGGGCCTATTTTTGGAAAGGTTCCAGAGGAGTTTATCCAGGTCCTTCATGGATGTACAATAGAAGTCAGTGACTTCTTACCTACTGTAAGTTTACATTTACTTATCTTGTCTATTTTATGTTGGCTTATAAATTCTTAAGTTCTGTTAGCTATAGAAAATTTATTTGCCATGTGTTTGTAGGCAAAATAAAATCTCTTAAGATTTGTCTATTAGATTTTTCCTACAGCTTCAGTGTTATATAATGTATATATGATCACAACATCTTTTTCAAGAATACAGTTTGTTGATAGTTGACATAGGTAAACACAGGGAAACCCATCAGCACAGTACGATAGTAAACACACTCATCACTCCCAAAAGTTTGCCCCTGTTCCTTTGTAATCCCTCTGTGCTCCTTCTCCTCCATGGGGAGGCAGTTGAGAGGTGTGCTTACCTGGGGGAGGCTGGTGGAGGGTTTGTAAAGTTGATTGTTTGGGACAGAGACATTGTAAATCTTTGAGATTCCTCATTGTCTCACGTGTTATTTCAGCTTGTCCATGTTGTGCCTGACCGTTTCCTTCTTGGCCCTGATGGGGTTGGAGTTCTATGGAAACTTCCCATTATCACTGCCCCCTTGGGAGTTTGTGTCTTTCTCATTTATATCTGGAGAACCATCCTCGCTGTAAGTATACTAAAGTAGCTTATATATACTGTTCTTCATAAATGAGCAGAAAATTTTATAGTTATTGGACCTTTTATATCCATTCAGTAATAGAAATATCCCTCTAATACATCAATTTTGATGATCACCTAGATTGAAATAGATTTAAATTTGTGTTGCAGTGCCTTCTGTGATCCATATGTTCTTTTTTTTTTTTTTTTAAGTTCAAGCATAATTGGCCAACAGTGTAGTATTAGTTTCAGGTGTACAACATGATTCAGCAATTCTATACATTTCTCAGTGCTCATCACAATAAGTGTACTCTTAATCCCCTTCACCTCTTTCATCCATCCCTCCACCCACCTGCCCTCCAACCCATGTGTTCTTTAGAAGTGTGTTGTTTAATCTCCATTTTTTGGTCATTCTCTAGCTATCTTTCAGTACTTGGTGTCTAGTTTGAGTCATTTGTGGTCTGAGAACATACGTCCTGTGATTTCTTTTCCTTTGGTCGTTCAGATGTATCTTATGGCCCAGAATATGGCCTCTCTTAGTGAATGTTCCATGGGAACTTGAGAAGAATGTCTTTAGTTTGGTTGTTGAATGGATTATTCTGCAGATGTTAATGGATCCAGTTGATTGGTGATGCTTTTCAGTTCACCTGTATTCTCATGGAATTTCTGTATCTGTTGGATCTGTCAATGACTGATAGAGGGTTCTGAATTCCCCAGCTATAATAGGGATTCATCTGTTTCCATCAGCAATTCTTTCAGTTTCTGCCTGATGTACTTCGACACTCTGTTGTTAATGCATGTACATGAGAAATTATTATGTCTTTTGGAGGATTGACACCTTTACCGTTGAAGTAATGCCCATCATTATCCCCGACGGTTTTCCTTACTCTGTAGTGTGTTTTGAAGGATCATTTCACTGGCCACAGGTTTCTCGTTGGATGTTTCTGTTAACACTTTAAACATTTCATCCTTCTTGATGGCAAGGTTTCGGAAGTGTGATGTAGTCCTTATCCTTATTCCTCTTGGGTAAGGGTTACTGCTCTCCTTCCCCCTTCCACCACCCACACCCAAGCCCTGCTCCAGATTTCCAGACTTGTTTCGTTGTCTTTAATCACCTGTGACTGAACATTCTGGATTAGGCATCATTGGCGTTAGTTGTTGGTGTGTTTGTTTTGGTATTTATCCTGCTTTCCTTGTTTTGAGCTTCCTGGATCTGTGGTTTGGTGGCTATATTAATTTAGGAAAATCCTCAGTCATTATTGCTTCAACTACCTCTCTGTCCATTCTCCTGCTGCTCCTATTCTGTGTGTGTTACACGATTTGTAATTGTCCCACTGGTCTTGGATTTTCTGTGCTGTCTTTTTAATATTTGTCTTTGTTTTTCTTTTGGGAAGTTTCTACCGGAAATTCTTTAGGCACAATGATTCTTTCCTCTGGTATGTTGAGTCTCTTAATGAACCCATCAAAGGCATTCTTGATTTCTGTTATGGTATTGTCCAGAATCCCGGTAAAATCTTAGAGTTTCATATCTCTGCTTACATTCATCACCTCTTCTTCCTACTGCCCCCTTTTTGCTTAGATCCAATATCAGGTATGGAAGGGACTTGAAATTCCCAACCTGCCAATGCCATCATCTCTGCCTTAGATGCCTTAGGTAGTGTGATTCTAGTGCTTGCTGTCGTGGTTTTTACCCTTAGTATGCCTTGTACGGTTGTGTTGAAAGCTAGATCTCCTGTTCTGGTAAAGGAACTGAGGTAAATAGGATGTGAGGGTGAGGTTGTCTACTCATCTGTCTGGGGTTAGACTGAGTTTACTCCCAGGTGAGACAGGGAGGCGATTGCATTGGAGTTGAGACTTTCCCCCTCACCTCTATTGCGTAGTCTTTGGGAAAGGCCCAGTTAGGCTCTGGGGACATAGTTTCACTTGAAGGCAGACCTTTCTAAGAAGAACAGAAAACTTCTGAGTTTATTTCTAAATGGAATCTCCCCCCTCTCCCTGCCAATGGAGAAACCTTCCCTTCAAAAGGAACACAAGTATGTGCTATGGTGAGCGCTGTGAATTGGGCAAGACTGTTGAATCACAGATCTGTACCTCTGAAACAAATAATGCAATATATGTTAAGAAAAAAAGAAGAAGAAGATAGCAGGAGGGGAAGAATGAAGGGGGGGGGAATCGGAGGGGGAGATGAACCATGAGAGATGATGATGGACTCTGAAAAACAAACTGAGGGTTCTAGGGGGGAGGGGTGTGGGAGGATGGGTTAGCCAGGTGATGGGTTAAAGAGGGCACGTTCTGCATGGAGCACTGGGTGTTATGCAGAATGAGTCATAGGTCACTACATCAAAAACTAATGATGTAATGTATGGTGATTAACATAACAATAAAAAATTTTTAAAAAAAGGAAAACAAAACTATGACGTCTTTGGTGTGCTCATCTGTCTCTTCACTTCCCCTTCCTGTGGGGCTCGGTGACAAGGGCCAGAGCAACTCAGAGATTCCTAAGCAACATGTGAAGTTACAGGAATCACCATGGTTTTCTGTTTGCCCTCCACTGATGGACTTTCCTCTAACAACGTTATTATGACTGGCTTGTTGATAGCATGGTGATATTCCAATATCCTGGCAAGATTTGGGGGCGGGCCTCAGCCTCTCCTCATCCTGTAAAACTTTTGAACGGGGAAATATGTTAATGGTGTCAAAATGGGGTCTTGCCTAGAGTTTACTAAGCTATAATTTATCAGGGTGACTCGATCTGGATAGCCCGGTTCCCCTCTTTTGAAACATCCGCTGTCATTTCTCTTGTTGCTTATGCTTCGTCTCTCGCCACGTGCCACTCTTTTTCTCATTCGATGGCTTTTCTGTCTTTTTGATGACCCTCTGTAGCAGTCTGGGAAACTTCATAGCACCTGATGTGCCATAACTGTGTGTGAATTCAGCAAACAGCCAACCCTTAGTAATAGTTCAGAGAAGCTTTCTGGACAAGGAAAACGGCATAATTTTGTCAGAGCTTTGCTCACCTGCCAGCCTTCCTTCCTACATTCCTTCCTCCCTTCCTTCCATTTTCTTTCTTTCAGGATCTTATAATAATCCATTTCTGAACTCAGTGTGCATATCGGGTTGCATTAAAGTTACGGAAATGATGAATTAATGAATATTTTTTTAAATGTCTGCATGGTCCGCTGTCAAGAATTGAACAGGTTGAACGTTCATTTCACAGTATGTGAATAGATTTTGGGGTCAAAACTAAGTTATATACCTTTGTGCTCCTTATCAGAAATGGATTGTGAACTATGATGACTTAATCAGGAAATTCCAATTTTGTCTTCTTTTTTAATCCTGTGAAGTCATTCTGCTATACAAAATGATGATTGTAATTTTCTTGGATGACTGTTTCGGTATTGACCTGAACTAGAGATTTTTCCTAGTAGTACGTTTTGACATCAAACTTCATTTTGTTTCTTCCTCTCTTAGATAAAGCCTCGGCGATATGAAGGTAAGTTTTTTGGCTTTAGTTTTCATTGTCGTAAATTCTCAGTACCGGTGTTTGATGTGGGTATAATTCGACTAGGGGTAAATATGGTGACTTCTGATGTCTAAGTGACTTGTTAACTCCTGAAAATCATTCTCTTTCCCATGTGGAGTCTAAGTGACAATGTGGAGGGTGTTGCCATCTCTTAGGAGACCAGGAGGAGGTATACTTCATGGGAGTAGGGAGAATAGAAAGAGTAATTTTGCAGAGACATGTTTAGGAGGCATGCGATGATAGGAGCCTGAGGTCTGGAGTGAGTACTATGCCATGACCTGGCTCTTGGCGAAATGTCAAGATGAGAAAACACTCTTTGAGTCTAACAAGCAGGCTACACTTAGAGAAGGAGCCACATATTGCCAGACAGAGCGTGTGTCACAAGAGAGGTTTAAACCATGGTTTTGAGTCTGAAGTGGAGGGAGCCTTTCCTGCCAGGGGAGAATGAGTGGAAAGGAACGTGTGCCAGTGGGGCTGATGTATCGTGTCGGGCCTCATGGATTGTGATGATTCCACGGTGCTGTCTGTTGACGGCCAGGGTGGCTGCCTGGCACATAGCAAACCCTCGAATGCTGGTGTTCGTCCCTGTGAGTGCAGCAGTGGGCGTGGTGAGAAGAGAGATCTCAGGGCAGGAGAGCGCTCACATTGGGCCACTAGAAGAGAAGTTTGCACTTTGAGGTAAGATGAGAGAATTATTATTTTTTAAAAGATTCTGTTTATTCATCTGACAGAGAGAGCACAAGCAGACCGAGTGGCTGGCAGAGGGAGGGGGAGAAGCATGCACCCCACTGAGTGCAGACCCAGATGTGGGACCCCAGGGCCCAGAGTGGAATCATGACCCGATGTGGGATCGTGACCCAAGCTGAAGGCAGACACTTAACCGACTGAGCCACGCAGGTACCCCAAGATGAGAGAATTAGGAGCCAGTTAGAGGAGTCTGTGTTCTCGACCTTCGATGTGTTATCCATCTGTGATAGGGCGCTTCATGAGTGTGGTTTTCCTGTCAGGGTAGAGGGTAACCTTCTCATGTTGGGATGAGAAAAGCTTGTGTTCCAGGGAGTGTGAGTTATCCAGGCCCTCCAGAGACTGTAACGTGGAGTTTGTACCCGAGTGTGTTTGATTCCAAAGGTCTTGTCCTCCAGAGCCCCTGCCTAGGGTTCATGACAGGCAATCTGTGAGCAGCAGAAAGTCACTGAAGGCCTTGGAGTTGTCACTCAATTGCCATTTTGAGCTTTCCTTGTGTGGAATTCCAAGGAGGATCTGGAAACGGACATGGCGCTGAGCAGGAGCAAAGGATGGTTTTGTTCATTTTGGGTTGTTGGCAGGGACCTATTTTTGTACCTTAATCATTGGAGGAGAGAAATGTTAGTTGACAGGATGCTTGATTTTTCTGTTACATATCTGGGGATGACATCAGCATTTGCAGTGATTGCATTTTCCAAGACTGGTGCTTACAGATGGGAGTAAACGTAGAAGACATTTGAGGGCGTTTCTCTATCTTTGAAAAAAATTTAAGTAGGAATCTCCCCAAAATAGGTTGTCTTGGGTTTCAAATGCTGCTAAAACTTGCTTCCTTAGGGCACAATGGGAATGCTAACAAGTTAGTTACACCCGAGTGTCAGAGAATGTGTCTCTGGTGCTCATACACTGGGATTATTCAATGTCACTCGTTTTGCTAATTATCTTTGCGATTCTTTTTTCTCCTTTTAGTAACCTTACAACAAATAAATGAGAAGATCCATCGACTTAGGACAGAAAACAGGGAGCTTGCTCAGGAAATATCCCTTTGGGAGCTGAAGGTATCAGTGCCTTTTCAAATACTTTTTGTGATTTCATTTTGGTTACTTCCACCTCTTGTAGTTCATCCTATTGACCTATTTCATGTGATCCAGAAATGGTCCTGATTCAAGAGAAGCTTCACGAATGTAGAGCACTGCCTCTCTATTTTGAAAGGAGTCACACATTAGTAGATAGGTTTGTGTAACACGATGCTATTTTGGAATTCTGTTTCCTTTTTTCATATGTTTTATAGATCCGGGAAGGCAAGAAGCATGTTGCAGAAACTAAGAGTGAACATAAGTTTCTCTCTGAGGAAGTTCTTAAATTGAAGGTAAGAATCCCTTCTTTGCCTGAATTGTGTCCTAACAACAGAAATAAAAGTAATGAATTATCATCATTATCATTATCACTATTATTATTTTAAACATTGATTGATTGATTTGAGAGAGAGAGAAAGAGTGAGTGGTAGGGGACAGAAGGAGAGAGAGAATCCCAAGCTGACTCCATGCTGAGTGTGTAGCCTGATGCAGGGGTCCATCCCAGAACCCTGAGATCAGGCCTTGAGCCAAAACGAAAGCAGGAGTCAGACACTCCACCGACTGTGCCACCCAGATGCCACCCAGGTGCCCCAAGGAATGAATTATTATTACTCATTCAAAATGTTTTGTTGAAGGAGAACATCGAAAAGGTTGACGAAGTTAATGAAAATTTAAATGACACCCTTCGTTGGGCACTGGCTCACTTGCAAATTGAGAGAGAGAAGAAGGTCAAGAATCAGGATGTGGTAAGAGCTGGCTGTTGAGTTTTACCTTAATGTGGCCCCGGCAGGCTTTTGGTTCACTGGGTGAGATGAGTGCAGCATCCTCGCTTGCTGTTTAGCACAGTAGAGAGTGGGCCTCTGGGAACTGAAACTCCTACGGAGCAGTGAGCTGGGATTTCACTTAGAACCACCGTGATGGGGTTTGCTCTTATAAGGACTAGGAAGTATGGTTGATTTCACAGCGAGGTAATGATCACATCATTCAGCCCTGCCCTCCAAGATATGTAGAAAATCCCCACAAGACACTTGAGCGATGAAGGGCGATGGCTGACCCAACTGTGCAGTCCCTTCGTCTCTTAATGCCAAACAGAGCATTTTCAATGTGAATAGGGGAAGATGTGTATATATGTATGTATGTGGATATATATATGAAGGAAAGCCACTAAGAAAGTCATTTGTGAGTTCTTTGACGTGAACTATTTTCCACTTTGCTTACTTCCTCCTTGTTCCATTATGCCTTAAGGGCTTTCTTTGTTGCACTGCATGATCCTGTGCAGGAGGAGGGTGTCAGACACCCTCACGTTGTTCTGTGATCATGATTTCCTGAATGTCTTTTCTCATATCTGTCTTGAAGGCCCAAGATGCATTCGAGGATGGAGAGCAGAGAGCCTTTAGGGCCAAAAAACGAGAACTGCAGGGTATGTTCTTTTGGGGGAAGAAATCCGCATATGGTGGCAATGAGCTTGCATTGGGAAGGGAAGGAATGCCTTCCTGCCTTCAAGGTCTTGCCCTTCTCCTTTCCCTATCAAACCGAAGTTCTCCGGTCATGTGCACATACACACACAAAAGAAAACTCATCCTTTCCAGAATGTCGACGATTGTTGGAAGACCATTGCAATGCCCTGAGTTCTTTGAAAACAACTCAAGAAGCCGAACTGAAAATGCTGAGGAGGAAAGTGGATATCGTGGTGGATTTCTCTAAACAAAGACAAGCGGCTGCCGAAGAGTAAGCTATTCTTGTGTGAATTGTCACCAATACTATTGTATGAATTTAGGTGACGGCCAGTCTAGATAAGTGTATTTCTTTTAGAATTGGATCTAGAGTATTTTTGCCAAATGCATTCTGTAGAATTGTGCCTGCCCTTGCTGCCTTGATGTGTGTGACCTGCATTTCCCTTTGTGTTCTGACTGCTTGTCACGCTTGTTGTGTGACTCCTTGGAGTAGAAGAGGGAAGGTACCCTCCTTAAAACCTTTGATACCTGGATCCCCTCTGGGTCTGTCTGCCTTGTCCTTTTGGTTTCCGTGTCATCACATGTTCTTATTAGCCCTGAATTCAGTCACTTTTGGTTCAGTACGAGCCTTGGGTCAATAATGGGGATAGAAAAATGGAATTGTCTTGCTGCGGAAACACTGGGAGTCTCCTTGTGGAAAGTGGGTTGGGGCTCCAGCAGTCCTGGATGCCTTCATCCAGTATACAACTGACATCACTCACTGTCGCCCAGTCCCTAAGAAGGCCAGGGTATTTCCCATCCACCGGATTTTTTTAGGTGTAACTCTCCTGGGTCCCAGCCAAAGCCTGCGGGTTCACTAGGGCTCACCTTGGCTGGCTGACCCTGAACTTCACTCGTTTCCTTCTAAGCCCATGCCCATAAAGTTGTTCAGCTTCTTTACAGTTCACTTGCCTGTTCCAGAATGTATTGATGTGTCCTGGGGAGATTGGCTCCCACTGCCAGGCTGGCTTTCTCCTAGGCTTCCTTCTTCTCCATCTGGTTCTCGTGTTTCTTCATGTACTCTTTAGAAATTGGGTGCATTCCCTCACGAGTTTGCTCTTTTGTCCAGTGTTTCCTTTCTTTTCTCAGGAGGAGATCAGGACCTTAGAGTCCCTCATTCACGTTGAAAAGCAAAACTGTTCCCTGTCTTCCCTGGAGACTCAGCTTTGTGTTATTCCTTCCCACAGCGGGGATGGGGGCTGCTCTGTGTCACTGGCATCTTGGTTCAGTTCATTGGAAATTTCTTTTGGGGGTGGGTACAGTGTCCTGACCACCTTTCTGTCTTCTACACCTTCCAACTGAGCCACTCCATTACAGCCGCTCCAGAAAGCATTTGCTGAAGGATTGCCTGAGAGACCAGAAGCAAATGCATGTGTCTTTCTCTGTCGGGAGCTTTTGACTCAGTTTCTAAGAGTCTTTTGGCATGTGATCTTGAGGAAATGAGGTGTCCTCTTGAAACCCTTTAAATCAACACCATGAGCAAAAGAGTCTGAGGGCAGCACAGCAAAGCAGCCTTTTTAAGCATCGCACGTTGCTGCCTTCACTATCAGTGAACTCAGTCTTGTTAAAGTCGGTTGACTCCATGCAATTGATAGTTTTCCATCTGAAATCTGTTGCGTGGAGATAACACACTGGCTATGTGACAGTTCACAGCCTTTTGCGCTTCAGGACATATTGCTGGTACTAAGATTGGCCTCTTCAAAGGAGGAGGCAGGGGTTGTAGTTGTAGACCCAGAGATGTCTGGGAGTGAGTTGCCATGCTGATGAAGCCATATTCTGGAAGGCTTCCTTTTGGGTTCATTTTGTCAGGCACAGCCTTGGTCTGAGGATCAGGGCTCCCCATGGAGGTGTACGACTAACGATGGTCCCCTGCTTCATCCTATAGTTGGTCAGGCTTGGTTTTTCACTTTGAACTGAAAGGAGCCTTCACCGTCTCCGACAAAAGACCAACTCTGAGAGGACACAAGCTGCAATGTTACTTGAGGAGTTGATAATGAAGTAGAGAAGTGTAAAGACAGCTCCGATTGCAAGGGACTTGGCAGCATCCAGAGTTTGATTTTTCTTTAACCCTAAATGGGACCTTCAGTTCATTTCCCTCCTTGTGTTGTCAGTCTGTGCATTTATGAGGGACATTGGAATCTAGGCCATCCAGTGTGCTGGGAGGAATGACGGCAGAACTTCTGGACCTTGGCTACTGGACCATGTCTATACCTTTCCTGTCTTAGGAAGGTTGCAAAGACCCGCTGTGACCTGGAGGCAACAGAGAGTCAGCTGTCCGCTGCCATGGAAAATCTGAAAGGAATCACAGAAGCAACGGACAAGTACAAGTGAGTTCAGACACTGAATATTAGCGGCTCCTGAAATCCCTGTTCACTTTGTATTTTTAACTTTTCTTCATTGTTTAGACTCAATTCACATGTAATATAAACAAAAATTCAGAGGCATATCCGGAGAGAATTAACAGACACAAAAAGTTAAGCTCTAGAAAGAACAAAGCAATTTCATTACTAAACATGTCCTGATCCCCAGCGCTGGCCTGATTCTGTGGAACCTTCTTCCACGCCATCGTCCCTGGGGGTGGTGTCAGTTGTCCTAATCTGGAGGAAAGCAGTTTGTCGTAGGATGCATCCTACCCATAAGCCCGGCAGGGCCATCTGATGGCGCTGGTCTTTGCCGCCCTGGGAGCCATGGCGAGGATAGAAGTTGCCCAGCACACTTGATGGCACCCTTGTCACGTGATAAATTAGGGCGAGATTGAAAATGAGTAAGGAAATTATGTCAACTCTGCACCCTGCAGGGGAAGAAAAATGATTACGGAAAAGAGGTAACAATAGCTTTGATCCTACTGTACATTATAACCATGTGAAAAGTGTTTCCTGTGTGAGGATCAATTGTATGAGGGGACAGATAAGAGGAGAATGGCCACGTGGGCAGATGATTTAAAATCACAGCCAATATTGGGTGTTATCTGACGAGAGCACTTATAACTCACAGGCAAGAAATTGGAGAGATGCAAGATCAGCTGCAGGAGGCAGAGCTCACCTTCCAACACAAGGTAACCTGAGTTGTGCCCCAACCTCCTGGCCCCTTAGCGCCTCCTGCAGGTGATGGAAGTGGCCCTTCGATCCCCCAACATGGGCTCTTGGTGTGTTGACTTTTTCAGATCGCAGCTCATGAGAGAAGTGCTCTAGATAATTGGGTAAGTGTTTTCTTTTTCCTCCTCTTCGTTTGGGGCCCAGTCCGGCACAGCTGAAGGTGGATGTGTTTTTCTCCCCCAGATCAAGGCTCAGGTTTGGGAGAGGAAGATAGTGCAGCAGAGGAGGGAGAACGCCTATGTGAAACACAGGTGTGTGATTTTGACGTGCCTTTTTCTGGGCGTCTTGAGGGGTCAAGGCTAAGCTGTTTAGTGTCTAGTAGAGGACATGGTGGTGTCATTCTTATAGACGTCCATTCTTTTTCTGTCTTCAAGACTGCACATGATGAGGAGAGAGATGCTGCCTGAGGGATCCATGAGGCAGGAACCGATGCCGGGAAGACCTGAGACACAGAACCGTGTGCAGAGAGGTAGGGAGCGTGCTGTGAAATGCAGCAGCCTGATCTCTGCTGGGAGAGCACATGGTGTCCTTCCCGTTCCTGTGGGTGATCACTGTGTGTCCTGGAGAGAATCACAAGCACTACCTAAGGACAGCAGGTTGTCTGAAGGGGTGACAGGAGGGTGCTTTCCTCAGGTGCCCACCGGCCGCAGGGCACCTGTCCCTGTGACAGGTGGAGCTCATGCCCCTCCCGTGACTGCAGACCCTCCCACCTCCTCTACCACCCACCTACTGAAGAGCTGAGCCTGGAGGAGTTGTGGGCCCGAGCTCCCTTCCCACCTTGATGCAATGGTGAAGACTTTTTGGAAAAAAAGAAATGGAGAAAAATGGCATTTATTTACTCTTTATGGAGGTTCCTTGATTTTTGTTTTATTCGTCATCTACAGTCCTATATTAATCCATGAAATTCATGCATTTTACTCCTCTAATGTTATCGGTATAAAGCCACAGCTTTACTTCTCAATCTGCCTATTTTTACTTTGCTCCTGGCTGTACGATTAGTGTACTCCAATTCTTCTCTTCAATATTTATGTAATAGCCAGCCACACATGCTAGGCCTCATCTATAGACTGAAGGATTGAACCATCAACTGGCGGCCTGAGACGAGAATGCATGCCGTTCATGTTGAGGGTTTATCCATTTTTAGCTGGTTGAGCCCAGAGCAGTCTACTGCTGTCCCCTTAGCTATGAAAACACCTGAAGCAAGCTGGGCGATGGTGGTCCCATCCTCGAGGGGGAGAGGCAGAGGTCTCCCCCTTGTCCTCAGGGGTCAGCAGAGACCTTTGAGAAATGCTGTGTGTCTGAGAAGGGACCCAAGAGTGGGACAGAGGGCAACGTGTTAGGGGCGGGTTTGGAGGGTTGGTTTGATTTCTGCACAGTCAGTGCTGGTCTGAATCCACCTCCATCTGTTCTAGGGCTTTGGTCTGATGCTGAAACTGGTGGGTCTCCCATGGGGAACAGGGGCACCGAGCCTCACAGAGACCCAGGGATGAGCAAGGTAACTACTGTGGCCTCTACCAGGTGTTCCGGAAACTTTTCCCTTTCTGAGCAGCACCCTGTCCTGGCCTTGTGTCTGTTGGGTGGGTTAGGGTTTGTCTGTGGTGTCGTTCACCTTTCAAAATACAAGCAGTTCACCCGGGGGCTGACAGGCTTCTCCATTACAGATCCTCACCTTCGGTGGCACCTCCTGAAGCCACGGGTGCTTAGAGGTGAAGGATGGCAGGGCGCTCACTGTGTGTGCGTGTGTGCTTGTGTGTGTGAGTGTGTGCGTGCGTGTGTGTGTTTGTGTCCATCCGTCCACCCCTGCCCACGCACAATGCCTGTGGGGGAAAGTAGCTCGAGGAGGATGACACGTCACTCCACAGTGAAGTCTCTGGCCGGCCTGACTGCCAGTCAGTAGGTTCCGATCAGGTGCGATTGGTGTAGTGTTCATGTTGGGGTTCGATGATTTACCTGTGCCAAGGTCTGTGGTAATCCTCACAACTGGAAACTAGGGGAAACTCTCTCTCCATTTTCTATTGTCTGTTTTGCAGTTTGGAATGTTCTTAGGGCAAGTTTCATAAGTCATCCCTGTTTTCCTTCTGCTGGTACAAATGCTGTACAGAATCCCTCTACTTGTACCCTTTCAACGACTGTTGTGAATTTCCAAAGTGGGGGGTGTCCTGGCACACACATTCTGAAGCGGGGATGTCGGTGATTAGCTGCATGACCCGGGCCTCACAAGCCCTGCAGTTGGGCTTCTAGGAGCAGGTCCTTTTGGTCTTAGGTCACTGTGAGAGCTGGTTTCTTCTCTCATCACACGCTCTGGAGTTGTCCGTCAGAAAGCATACACATTTTTGTGAATTCTCAAAATTCACAAAAGTTAGCCTTATTTAGCCTTCCCATCTTAATTTCCCACTGGACAAAATTGCTCTGGAACTCAGTGTGCGGAAAATTCCAATGACTGTGTTTTAAGATAAACACAGCCGCTGCACTTAAATAAGGGCTATTGGTATCATGTTCCTCTCAGAAAACCCTCTTCCAGGTCCCCTATCAGACCACAGGCCCCTAAATCCTCAAGGGTCTTTGTGGCCTGGACAGAAACTGCAGAGAGTAGAAGACCGCTTTGTCAGGAAGTGAGGCAGGTGGGGACAGTCAGGGGCTTTGCAGGCAAGGGATTCACCTCGAGTGGCTCGGATTCCTTGTGGAGAAAGGGCATTCAGTTTCATCACATTCTGTCTATTCTTAACAAACCCAAATCTTCTGCGGTGGTTGAAGAGGAAAGATGAAGTGTTGTCCACGATGTCGATGCCTCCCTGTCTGGAGTGTGGGCTGCTTTACTTGTTTCCAGTGATCCCTTTTCACCCTTTAAGACTCTACTTCTTGGTAGTGAATGTTGGCAGACTTGGGTAGTGATGTTTGATGACAGTAGGTTATTCCTGTAACATCCTTTCTCCTTCCCCGTCCCCCCCCTTATGATAGTAGGCAGCAATTGGGAGGGACAAAGTTTTCTAGCATGACGTGGCTCTCCTGGAACGTGGTATTGGGGAAGGAGCCAGATGCTGAGAGCTTGCTCTTTGGGTTTCATCTCTTGGTGTTGCAACTTTTGGCTGTCTTACCCAAATATTTTGTCCTCTGTTCTGCAGGTCGGTACAGATGTGAGAGGGTTTCCTCATGCTCCAAGGCCCCCCCATATGCCCTACCACATGGGGCAGGGTTTACCAGGCTTCCCTGGCTATGGGCCACCTCCACCTCCTCCACATGGGTGGACATGGGGGCCTCAACCACAGCTCATTCCTGCTACACATGGTAAGATGATCTGAACTGGATGACCTGAATCGTAAAGCCTATTCATAGTTTAAGTACTTCTGTTGGTGGAGAAGATGTAGAGGAGGTACCAGAAGGCTTTGCAATGCAAGGATCGACCTGAGTGAGGACATAGTAGCATTCGTCACCTTTCTGTGGACATCCATTTCATGGACTGTCTTGTTTCACCCTACAGAAATGGGCAGCAGGTGTCTGCCATAGAGAAGAAAAGTGACAGTTTGCAAAGGACAGACATAAAAGCTTTGCCCATGGGCACTGCCCAGACACAATGTTTTGGGCCCTGGGATGGATGAAGCACAACCTCAAATCACTGTTACTTGTGGAGGCCCCAGTTGTCCAGTGTTATTCACTAGCTCTGAAAACATCTGTCACTGGGTGGACTGATCACATCCTCAGTTGTGGGGGACTTGTCTCTCCTTTGTCCGCAGGGGTGAGAGGAGACCTGTGAGAAATGCTCTGAATCTGGAAGGGATGTGGGAGTGGGAGAGCGTGGAATAGGGTGGGGCAGGTGTAGAGGGTTGGCTTGCATCCTGCATGGTCAAGGCCAGTCTGAATCCACCTCTGTCCCTTGCAGGGCTTCGGTCGTATTCAGAAACCTGTGGCTCTCAAGGGGACAACAGTGGCACCCCGCCCAAGAAGGTCCCACAGAAGGACTAGGTAAATACTGTGTCTTTTCTCAGTTGTAACCATTTCTGGAATCCTGTTCCTGTCTGGGCAGCACCCTGTCCTGACCTGTGTCTATTGGGTATGTCCTGGGATCTGTGTGTGGTGTCATTGACCTTTCAATATGCCCAGTCTTCATTCGGAGCCTACAGACTTCTCTGTTTCCAAATCATCACCTTACGCGGGGCGTCCTGAAGCTCCACGTGCTTAGAAATGAAGGAGAGCAGGACCCTGCCCTTGTGTGTGTGTGTGTGTGTGTGTGTGTGTGTGTGTGTGTAAACTCCTGGAGGAGAGCAATATCTCACTCCACACTGAAGTCGGCCAGTCCCGCTGACTCCTTGCAGTTTGCTTTCCCGCGGGAGCGGTAGTGGTGTTGGGTTTCGGGTCAGGAGACTAAGCTGGGAGAATGTCTGCGGTAATCCTCACAGCTGGAAACGGGAAAAGCCATGCCCTGCCTCACACTTTGTGCCACGTGCTTTGGGCAGCTGTGAGTGTTGGTGGACAAGGTGAGCTGTGACCTCACGTGCGTTCCATCTGTGTGGGTAAAGACGCGACCCGGAATCCCTCCAGTTGCTCCCTGGGTGAGATGAAGGTGAACTCTGCCAGGGGCCAGCTGTGTGGTAGAAAACGCCTCCCAGAGCACAGCCGTGAAGAGGGAATCCCGGTGACTCCCTGCAGGGCCCACGGCTCACACACGTTTCAGTCGTGCTCCCGTGAGCGGGTTCTGATGCGGTTTGCTGGCTGTGCCGACTGATAGCGTCTCTCCTGATCCACCCTGGGAGGGTCACGCCTGCTCTCCAGACACATTGGTTTGCACCCGGGGATGCAGAATGGGCCCCTCAGTGGTTCTCGGCACCAAGGACTATGCATTTGCTCTGTGCCTGAGCTGAGGAGCATCGGAATGTCGGTGACTCAGATCCACAGAGCTGGGTCTCACGAACTCATCGGGATCGTGTTCTTCTCAGCACTTTTCCCGGTCCGCTGCAGGACTCCAGAAACTCCCGTCTCCTGAGCGGTGTCTGTGGCCATGGACAGCACTTGGGAGAGTAGAAGAAGACCCCTTTGTCAGGGAGGGAAGCGGAGCAGGGTCAGGCGGGGGCTGGTGGGCAGCAGTTGGACCCACGAGGGGCTGTGATTCCACGTGTGGACACTGGGCTTCTCCGGACTTCTCACCGTGCTGACCCCTGCTTCTTCGGGTTTCAGGTTGATGGGGGTTCTGCTTCTGTCTGTCATAGCAACATTCCTTTGGTTTCTGTTCTGCAGAACCCTGTGGATGCAAGAGGACCTGCTCCTGTACCCGGCCCACTGGGTCCACCGTACCCCACGGATCCCCCTTCATCACCATCCTGGAGCCCTGGGGCACATCTCCCTCCACCCACCCAGTGGTCTCTGCATCCTTACCCTGCACCCGAACCTACACCACAGGGTTTGATGATATGAATTGTATGATTTGACTTATAATCTGTATTGTCTTCTTTCTTATTGAGTTGGTGGGGCAAAGGCCAAGTTTGTGCTGAGGCCTTGACATTGGGAGGGGAAAACCGCCTGGGGGCGCTGTAACATCCTGAAGTTTCTCAGGACATACAGGTGTTGTGCTGGGCTATTTCCACACACTGAGCGGGGGGAGGTGCCGTTGTTGGGAAGGAAGTGTCTCTATCGCACAATGGCAGACATATATTTCTTACCGTCGGGCACGTCCAGAGTCCACAGTTGTTGTTCTGGGCGGGATGAAACACACCTCTCACTTTGTTTTCAGCGTGTTGAGTTTGAGCTCTCATTTCCTCAGTTATATAAACACCTGAAGCAGGGCTATGGTCCCTTGATTAATCATTAGGGCAGGGGTCTGTCCCTTGTCCTCGGCAGTCAGTGGATACTTGTGGGAAACCCTCTTGTCCGGTAAGGGAGGTGAGAATGAGAAACAGTGGCAGATGCTGGAGGCAGGTGTAGACGGTTTGTTAGAATGTTGCTCAGTCACTTCCAGTGGGATGGTCTTCCGTCTTTTCTCTGACGTGGGTCAGATACAGACGCTGGGGCATCCTCCATAAGGAATAGCAGTCCTACATGCAGGCCTCTCATGTTATGGGAGAGTGAATGTTGCTAAGGACATGATCACTTTCTTCAGGTTGCTCAGGAGACGCCTTTGAGGGACTTTGTCTTTCACTCATACTGAGGTGGTCAGCAGGTCCCTTTGTGGTGAAGGAGAGCCGCTCTTCTCCAAAAGCTGGGCACAGCAGGTATGCGCATGCACACTGTGCAGAGACGATATTCTGTGCTCTGGGAGGGATGAGGAGGGAATTTCAGGGGTCTGAGAGCAGCGAGGGACACATTCATTAAACGACAGAGAGGTTGTGTTCCGTATAAGGGAAGCCCCAGCGATGGATCTGAAGGACCAGAGAGGGAGCCATGAGTCACTAGAAACAGGAGGCTGTGGATGAGCAGGATGGAGGTGCTCAGGGGAGTGGATGGGCCTCTCTCGGGTAGAGCGGAGGCCGTTCCTGCAGGCCAGCAGCTTGAGCAGTGAGTGTGAGGACACCGTGAGATCCACACCGAGCTGCTGCCTGTGTCCATCACACAGCGTGGATGATGCAATTATTTGTATCAGAACGTCATGGTTGCCATAAAGCTGTTCGTTCATAATCTATAAGGATTGTTGTTTCCTCTGAATTTCTGAAGGTTCTGAACTGGGTGAAAGAATGTGGTGGAGACTTGGGAAATTGAACTCGGTTCCTTTGGGGATTCTTGTCTGCCTGAGTTTGTGGGCCCCAGTGAGAAAAAGTGAAGACGGGACCAAGATCAGCAGAGTGGCTGCCTTGGCCTTCAGCCCGAGTCAGACTCTTCGTGGGGCATTCAGGATTGACCAGGAGCCACTCTCGCTGGATCCCTGTCACTACGCCTCTGCATCTGAGTCACCGCCCTGCCTGCACTTTGCATCTCCCTGAACTTTGGTCACAGTATCCTGCGGATTGACCTGTGTTCCTGCCCGAATGCCAGCTCTCCGTGGGGCCTACTCAGAGCCTCAGCTCTGTTATCTGTGAAAGGGGAGCCTGTCGGATTCTGAGGTCATTAGAAGAATAGGAGTTGAAGTACATAAAGAATCTGCAGGGGCCCCTGGGTGGCTCAGTCGATTAAGCATCGGACTCTTGATTTCTGCTCAGGTCATGATCTCAGGGTTCTGTGATCGAGCCCCAAGTCAGGCTCGGCGTTGGGTGTGGAGCCTATCTAGGAATTTCTGTCCTCCCCACCCACCCCCCCACGCCCCCCACGCCCCCCACGCCGCCTTTCCAGCACAAATTTGCCCTTTTTCGGTCTCTATCTCAAGAAAAGAAAAAGAATATGCAAAATATCTGGGCTCTTGGCCACTCCCCCTTCTCACTGTTTAAATGAAAATAGCTCCATCAGATGATCATCAAAAGATGTTCATTTAAGTCCACAACATTACACTGAGAGTATAACACCTCAGCCCAGAGATTGGCATCCTCATTTCAAAAATAAGGCAAAGACCCCCCCCCCTTTTTTTTCTATTAAATTTTAGGTCCTAGCCAAGAACGAAGTAAAAGATCATTATGAGAACATGTATATTCAGAGATTCATATCTGAGATGTGAAGACAGTTATTTTCTATTACATACAGACTCACGGAAGCAGCCACACCCTCAGGTGTTCATTCAAGGCCTCAGATATACCAGAGGAAGCAAATGCATTCAGGAAAACATAAGGTCACAGTGTACTAACCCCAATCCGTCTGCCTTACAGGACAGTACATTTGCTATTTGAAGACCTCCCTGAGCAGTAACAACCAGGCTGTGTGTGCATATATTTAGAAAATTGTCAGATCAGCCTAATGTCCTGAATGTTGTCCCTGCCCATCCTGTCCCCTGTGCTCTGTCTCTCCTGGGATCCCCCAAATAAACCTTCCACGGTTCTGTCTCTGTGTCAGCGTCTGCCATCAGGACGCCCTACAGTCGCTCCCCTTCGAGTGCACGCTGTGAAGCCCGTACACACAGAAAACAAACCGGCAGCAATGGTGGTGACGGAGAATAGTAGCAAGAGTCCCCTTTGTGGTATCTTTACTGCAAGGGGCGTAAGAAATCCTTCTGGGGAGGCGGACACAACATGTATTTAAGTCTGTTGGTGGTTGTATGAACTCTGGTGCTAGATACTCTTGAGCACATGGCGCCTGCTAGTTTAAGGGGTGTGTGGTGATCAGCAGGACAGGTGTCTGTCCCCAGGCAGTGGTCTGTTGTGATGGTGAGGAATGAACGAAGCATCCCTAGTGGCCCTGGGAGACCGGTGAGGAGGCCCTGCATTAATCCAGATTTTGTGCACTGGTTTCACCTTACCAGCTGCCCCCCAACAGCAGATGGGCTCTGAGGGGGGCTGATGGTGACAGTTTTCTTGGTAAGACCCACGATGCCCCATAATCCGCCCCCAGTTTCCTTGTTGAGGGATGGGCAGGGCAGAGGCCAATGACAAGAGACCCATTCCTCCCTCACCACACAGGAGGAGTTGGGTGTATGCTTCTGTCACTTTTTAGTCCTTTACTCCAATCCATTCTGCACCACAACTCCTGGGTCTTGCAAAGCCCTCCTTCTTCCCGGGTTGTGGAAGCAGCCATCCTCCAGTAGCTTTGAGGTCGTGGCTGGGCCACCAAGGTGTCCAGGTCTGTCTGTCCACATGCTTCCCAGGAGTGGCTGGTAACTGCACTGCTGTAGTCAAGGTCAGCCTGAGCAGCCTTTGACAATGGGATTGCCATGCCCTGTGAGCAGGGTCTGGGCCGAATGATGGCAGGAGAGAGGGGGAGACAGGAGAGGTGGTTCCCTGTGGTCTTGGACAGGGCTGCACAGAGCAGAAGGCCTGAGGGCCTGCGGAGAGATAGGGAAAGAGACTGTCAGGGAGAGAGACACTGAGTGAGTGGTGGGGGGATTGGGCAAGTCCTAGAAAGTGAGAGGAACAAAGAGAGAGACACAGGGTAGAGAGAAGCAGAGACAAAGAGGAATTTCAAGGATGAAAAGAGGTTGCTGGTCTAGGTGTATGGAAGTGGACCGTGGACCAGGGTGGAGGAGGTCGATGTAGGTGCTTTGAGCATTGGGACCCGAGAAGGTGGGAAAGCAGGTGATCAGATTTCCCTGAGCCCAAAGCTCCCACCTTCCTAGGGCTGAGCTTTGCAGAGGCCGTTTCACTTGGGAAGATGGGCACACGTCCTTTTGCATGGACTTGTGGGGCCGAGCCTCAGGATCTGTCATGGAGAGAGATGGCTTGGCTGGACCTGAGCATGCTCTGTCCCTCCAGCTGAGGGGCCATGGCTTTGAGCATTGTAGGGATTCCCAGTGCGGCCAGGAGAGGGCGCCCGCGCACCTCCACCGGGACGCGGAGGTTTCTCAGCGTTTGCTGACCCAGGGCATCTCAGAGCAGGAAGGACTTCTGTAGCAGCCCAAGGATCCAGCCCGACTCTGGCTGCCCCAGGATAGAGAGCCAGGGCTGTGGTTCCAGTAGGTTCTGCCACCACCCTGTGGGAGACCCTGGGGGCTTTGCAGCAACTTGGTGCCTCCTGACGTGCCACAGACAAGCTGCTTTGTTGGGTGAGTGCTGAGGAGGGGGCTCTGGGTGTCTTCCCAGGACATGCTGGTAGGTGAGCAGCACAGTCGCTTGCATTTCCTGAGCTGTTCCCCTGGTTCATTCCTCCCTTTCCCTGAGGGTATTTCAACAAGACGTATTTTACTCAGGGATCCGTGGATTGAGGGGTCCTGCAATGTCACATCAGAGATGCTGTGGTGGTTTTGTTACAGCTGGAACCAGAGCCCCAGGTAAAAGCACAGAGTGTCCTCCACTTAAACATGCATTTACTGCACAGTTAATTGGTAATGTTTATAGGAAGAGAACATGATTAGATTTTTTTTTTGTCACTAATGCAACATACTATCAATTGCTGTTAAGCTTGGAAAACTGCACTTGGTTAACACTGATTTCAAGGATAGTGAGCACTCTTAAGCTTCAGGTCCCATGCCTCCTGAGACTCCAGGGAATGGGAATTTTTTTCCTGGAGGAGGAAAGTGTTCACTGTTTTGCAGTCAAGGTATAGACTTTAGGTAGTCCTCCATCCCTTGTTAAAGGAGTATGTCTTTGTCCCCGGCAAGTTTTGAAGAGTGCTTATTAGAAAAGTTGCTTGAATTGAAACTTCTAGACTCAAATAGTGGAGTTCGGGTTTTCATGGGACAGAAGTTGTTATTTAGGAAGTATCAGTGTTGGGACTGTAAGTGATAATAAAAGTAAGGAACCATGCCAGTCATTTGGCGTATGACGTGGAGCACTGCACTAATTTCTCAATGTTTCAGATCCCAGGGGTCATGATATTGAATATACACATGTGAGGAGAGGGTTGGTGCCCTGCTGTCATTACTGGCACCCCCCATCCTGCACACACAGTGACTGCCTATACTGCAGTTGCCGGCAGCTCTTTGCCTGAGTGTGTCCATTGGCTTCCTAATGGCTTCTTTAGCTGGGGCAGTGAGCTCTTCTGCCAGGTAATTCATGTCCACGAGAGCAGCACTCATTCCATGCAGGTCTTTTCATACATGGGCGGGATGACTCAGGGCTGTTCTGCACAGTCTTCTGGACGTTCCCAGTAGACGGAGAGTTGCCCACAGCCGTGACCTCTAAACTAATACCGTCTTGTGTGTTGGCTCGACTCCTTCACGTCTTAGCTCCTGTCATTGCTTCCTGAAGACCCTTCCAGAGAAACTACTTATACCACATCCTTGTCTTAGAGTCACTTTCTGAGGGACCCAACCACTCCTAACTCCTGGTGCTGCCAAGAATCGTGGGTATTGTCCCTCTGTGCCCCAGGAGAGAATCTGCTTTTAAAAGACACACGTTCTTGGGAGATCTCAAAGCTGGGTCATGAGAATCAACTTACATTTTTCCCTTGTGTGTGAAAACTTAAAAGCCACACATACAAGGTGGTGGACTGACATAGATCACAGTGAGATTATTCAACTTGTCACACAAAGTGGAATGCTCAGGCTGGAAGGAGACATTTGTTGTAGGATCATTATCAGTGGCACTATTATTGAGCTCAAATACCCTAGCCTTTGAAGGTTCTTCTTTGACTCCTGTTTTGTCCATAAGGGTACTGTGTGGCTATATGCCCACCCTAGATACATCCCCAGTCCTTATCTTTGTCTCCAGTCCTAGACTCACTGTCATCCAACCCCACCTCCCCTGTTCCCACTTTCTGTGTCACGTCCTCCTTTTCTGCTCCCCAAGGTTTCCCACGATCCATCTTGGCTCCAGACTCCCACCCTTCAGCTGTCAGAGGTTCCTTGGGTCCTCCATCTCCCCTGATCCCCTCTGATTAGTAGGAGGGGATGTGAGTATGACTGAAGGTCCTGCTCTGCCTTTACTTAAGTCCTGGGACTGCACGAGGGAATGGGCCCCAGTCTGGAGTCCTGGATTGCCTGGATATTGATCTATGGCAAAGAAGTAATTGAATTCAACACAATTACGTTGAACTCGAGGCTTTTGCCAGGCACTGGGAAGAGCACCAGCATATTTTGGGAGGGGTGGTGGTCGGGAGACACACCCAGTGCTTAGGCCTTGCCCTGAGAAATGGTCCAGTTATAAAGACAGTAGCTAAAAAAATGCAAGGCAAGGAAAGGTAAGGAATAGGATGTCAGGCTTATTGAGTGCTTTATGTCAGGTGTGCGTCAGTAATCATTCTGCTCTCAGGCGACAGTGCCCTACAGTAGAAAAATCTCATTGTCACCCCCATTTTGGAGATGAGCATGCTGAGGCTCAGAGAAAGGCACACAGCTAGAGAGTGAGGGAGCTAGGGTTCCAACCAACAGAGAGCCTTCCCTTCTACCCAAGACTCTATGAGCTTTTATAGAGCTACATGCCACTTGATTCTTTCTGGTGAAGGGAGCAAAGGGGTATTTAAATCCTCATAGAACTCAAAATATTCTTCGTGGAGAAGAGAAAACAGAATAAAAGGCCTACCCCGGGAAGAATAGATTCAGAGGGCCTGTCTTGGGGGAAGACTCAGCATTGACCTCAGGCCAGTGGCTTCTTACTCCACCTCTGATGAGGTTATTTACCAAACAGAACCTTTATCGGACCCATCAGGTTGTTCCCCAAACTTACTGGACTCTGATGTAGACTGAGAGATCTTTTTATCAAGCAGATGTGAATCCTTTCTCAGGCTCTGGGTTTCCGTGCCTGAACTTCTGAGGACCAAGAATGAGGACCTCTTCATGTGAAAAGGATGCAGGAACCAGCTTGAAAGGGTCACCACTGTCCAAATGAAGACAACCTGCAGATCAAAATGAATCATGGCAGGAATAGTTTCCCAATACTGAATGATAATCCATGAGTCTAGAGTACTCCTTAAGAAAAGCTTTGAAAATCGAGATTGAGAGAAGGGAAAGATCTTTACAAAAGATTGCTCAGAATTAAAGATACAAGTAGACAGTGGAAAGAAGAAATCACCTTTAAACAAACATAACAATTCAGCCACCAGTTATCAGTAGATGGTCTTTAGGGGAAATGATGTTAGGGCACAAGATATGGACTGTGGGAACCACGGTGAACTTAACACCACTTACTTACAGTGAAACTAGACTTTTTCCATGTGGCTCATGAGGCAGGATCAAAGTGAAGGGCATAATATCAGATAGTAACAGATTTTAAAAGGAGAAGAAAAACTAGAGAAGTCTGGACAAATAGAACGCACATCATGAGATGATAAATGTAAAGTCAAGGAGAAAAAGTCCCATTGAATGCGAATGGACAAAAAGATCCAGATAAAAATCCACAACTTTCTAAACCAACCAACCGACCAACAAGGGCAAGCTTTTGCAGTGCCTGGGTGGCTCAGTCAGTTAAGCGTCTGCCTTCAGCTCAGGTCATGATCCCAGGGACCTGGGATTG